AACGGTGGCAAATTGCTAATCTAATTATCAATCTTCTCTTTTTATCTTTTGAGTGTATAATTTCGTTTTGTCACTATAAAATCATTGGCGACGAGCACCAGGCGATAGCTAGAATTTGTGATGTGCTGGCTCTCGAACCACAGGCAGATCCAGCGGAAGAGGAGAGGGGAGCAATAGGTATTTCGCTGTTCCTCCACGCAGCGGCACAGGCACCAGTGCTACAAAAATCCAGTTCTAAACTAAAACTAAAGTAAATTCTCCTTCCACTTCCCGTCACTCCCCTCCCTTCTGCCAGGAGCCCCACACTCTCCCCCCCCCTCCCCGCCTGTTTGCTTGCTCCCTTCCCAGGAGTCTGTCCTGGATCCGCCTATGCCTCGAACTTCAGGAAATTAATTGTACAACTACCACGTGGTACTTAGAGAGGGGACATTTTGTTAAAATTTCAGCTTTCCAGCTTTTCTGGTTCCCGAGCTAGCGGTTTCCCTCCAAAAGCTTTCACGGGGCCGTACTTGAGTGCCACTGTAATTGCGGGCTGAATTTGAAATCTTTAAATTGCACGTGAGTTGGAAACATCCCTGAAAGTTTCAGCTTGCCAGCTTTTCTGGCTCCTGGGTTGACGGTTTTCCCGCCAAAACTTTCACATACTCGTACGCAAGACCCATGCGTGAATAATACTAATACTTAAATACTAATACTTAATACTTAGTACTGCGGCCCTGGGTGACATTTGGCAAGGGGAATTCACTGGCAAAATTTCGGCACCGGATCATGTACCTGAATTTCCGTGCGGCTCTAATAATGCACCACCTTCATCCCAACTGAAGCCCTTCCTCTTGCATGCCGGAAGGGGCCAAAGCACGGCCAATATGAGCCCAATTGTTGGGCTACAGCGCAGGGATCATTCCTGGTATTAGTGACCTGTGAGTTTAGTGCAAAAACGCATGACCGCACTGACAAGCCTGGTGCGTTCCGGTCTGGGCTGCATTTGCACATATGCAAAAGCGCATAATGAACACTATCTGATGTTACGGATCAGAAAATGATAGGGAGTAAGTCAGTTTCAGGTGAGAGCCAGGAAGTTTATCCTTAGAATTCGAAGTTTTTGGACCTCTTTTGGCTCTTGGATTATGAATTTTGTCTAATCTGGGCCTGAAATCAAAATTCAGAGTACAGAGCAGATTGAAGTTTTTTTAGTCCTGTATACAGGTAAATGTTTCCTCCTTAAGACAATAAGCTTGTGCCATTTTTGGCGTTTGAATGATGAAACTGCGTGAGTCTGAGCTTGAGACTAAAGGCCAGGTTGTACTGCGTACAAGTGATTAATTTCACAAGTGTGAGACAAG